TGTCCCTTCCAGCCCCAGGAAGGGCTTGCATGGGGTGGTTCTAAGGAATGCATGCAGCATTACACTTTCACTAGTGCCAATGGGGAAAACAGTCAGGGCACAAGGAGAAGCCCATGGGCTCAGATCACCTCCATGTACACATTGCACTCATCACACCCAGGAAGCAGCAGTCATGCACCCCATGGACTGCACCCCTAGGCTGTGCACCACATCCAGCCTGCTGCTCACTTGATGTTCTCTGTGGTCCCTTCAACGGTGTGGGCCAGCGAAGTCCCCTGGTAAGCAGTGGCATGAAGGTAATCAAAGGTGACATGTGCCAGGTTGCTGTCCATCTCCTTCAACTCCTGAAGGATGACACCACGCTCCTTCTCCATCTGAGAATCCTCCAGTGCACAGTTCTGCACAAGGTCACTCAGAAGCTCTACAGCTGCAACACAATTCCTACGTTAGCACCCCACTGCCTGACTGCTACCCAGTGCTGCTGAAAGGAGACACACAGGAGTGAGCAAAAACCATGCTGGGGGAGGGCATGCAACATAACAGAGCTGAGTGCTACCCATTCCCAAAGCATCTGGGAGGAACAAACAACACTGGTTTAGCAAGAAGTCTCCAAATCAGTTTGCCAAGCACCCCCACCAGTAGAGTGCAGGCTTGTATCTGCAGAAGGTGAAGTATGTCAGAAGTAGGTTCTTTTCCAGATACATAATGAATCCTCACAGAGAGTTTGTGATGCCTACAGCACACCCCAGGTCTACAGTAAGGCCCCTACTCAAATCTCTGCCTCTGCCCAAAACTGACCCAGAGAAGGCAGCACATGGCAGCACAGAGCATGAGGAGCACCCCCAAGAGCTGCACCAAGGACTCCTCCCACACTGACCTCAGCTGCTCAGCTCCATAAAACAACCACAAACCAGTGAATCCCTCCCATCTTCCCTCCTGGCAATGCAGTGCAGCCTGACATAACTGGAACTCTTGGTTTAGGGACACATGCACACACAGCCTTGAAGCACCACATCACTGCACTGCTCTCTTCAACTACCAACCAGAACCTCCAATTTACTGCTCAGCTTCAACTTCAGTCCCTGGTCTGCTGATACAAAAGATGCTTGGGGGTGAGAAACAGAAGGCCATGCACTTGTTAACTTCCCAGCCAGACTCTGCCCCTGGCCATCCTACCTTTGGGCATGTCCTTGGACAAGGCTTTGATGTAGAAGGCGGTTTGCTCGCGGGAGGTGTACCCGCTCAGGTGAGCTCCCAGACTCTCCACCTCCTTCTCAAAGGCTGAGCCAGGACGCTTCTTTGTGCCCTAAAGGAAACCAGATATACTCAGTTATGGAATGAACAAACTTCCCTTTAGGTCAGAATTAAAACAATGAAAATAACAATAAAGACTGTCATGTGATCCATAAAAGCCAAGGGCAGCAGGTGCACAAGACATAGAAGATTTAATACTTGGCTCATTTCCTCTAGATAAAGGATGGCTGAGGTGTATTTTGAAAGACCAACACAAACTGTCAATAAAGCTTGTGTTTATTGAAACACGATAAAGGTGCCTGAAAAAATAAAGGCTGTCATCACCACTAACCAACACAAACTCAGCAGGGAAGGAGACAGCAGTGTTTGAACAGCACATCCATGTTAGTTTACATGTTAGTAAACTAACAACAAGCCCAAACCAAAAATAAGTATGTTTCTAGCTATCCAAGCAATGACATATAGAAGACAAATAGATGCAGAAGACTATTTCTAATACAGGGCCTATCTCTTAAAGAGCTAGCCAGATGCTGTAGTTGCCTATAAAGGCACAGGCTGAACTTGAGCCAGCAAGTCCCAGGCTTAGATGTCTTCTGCCCTGTTCAGCAGACACCTGCATAATTTAAAAAGCAAGAATTCTTTGCTGGACCAGTAAGAAAAGCAAAATAAAATAAATGGCAACAGGAAATGCTGCTTTGAACTGTCTGTGCTAACCTGAGGAAAGGTGTTTCATAACACAGTGCTCTATGTGTGCCACACTTTTTTCCTTTAAGAGGACAAATAGTAAATAAGAGTTATTTTTAATTCAAGCATGCTTTCAAGTTGCTGCACATTCAAGCAATAAGCACCACATAGGTCAGATGCCTTTTCAGACTCATTTTTATACTGTGTGCAAAGACTCTAGGCCTCAGATGACCCAATTTACACCCTCCTTCCACAGGCACAGCCTCCAAACGAGAGGCCAATGCATGGACAGAATATCAGGGCAGCTGTGTGCAGAGCCAGCACAGCCCTCACCTTCAAGGCCATGTGCTCCACAAAGAAGGCAGCCCCGTTGCTCTGCGGCTCCTCGTAGCGGCTCCCGGCCTCGATCCACAGACCCACCTGGCAGCAAAACCACGAGCACCACATCAGAGAAAACAGCCAGCAGCCTAACCACACAAACAACAGCAGGGACAAGAAGTCTGGTCCACAGACATTATGCTACAAGAACTAAAATAAGGACAAACTAGCAACTGTTCCCTGTACATATTTTGGCTTTCTCTGTCTCTCAGCTTCACCACATCTGGTTTTGCCAGAGAGATAACTTTTACTGCTCACTTATTGCACATACAAAAACTCTAAGGCTGAGCAAATTTGTAGAGCACGAAAACTTGTCTAAAGACAATACAACACCAGTCTGGCCCTCCCACTGCTATATTAATCCCACCTGTTCACAAAGAGAAGCAGTGGGGTCTCTGTCAAAAGCACTGGTTCCAACAGAGGTCTGTCCCTTTGGAAGACCAGCCTAGGCAAGACGGACTGTTTCCAATGAGCCCTGAGTTATGTTAAATTTACCGTGCAGGTTGGCTGACTGGACTCCTCTGAGGCTACACGGAGCCCGTTCTCCAGGGTGGTGACCTGGGTCTCAGGGATATTCTGGAGTGTCTGGGCATAGGTGGCAGCCCCTCGCTTCCTCGTCAAAGTCAGTAAAGCTGCCTGTAAAAATAAAGGCTGTCATCGCTGCTAACAGACTGTTCCCCTGGGCAGGGTTTGAACAGGGGGGAAACGCCACGGGAAAAGCCGCACGAACCGCTCGCACCCCAGCAGCGGGGCAGAGAGCGGGCAGCGGCTCGGTGGCAAGCCCCGCACTGGGTGACAGCGACAGCCGCCGCTGCTCCCCGCCTGTGCCCGGGCTCCCACAGCCGCCGCCGCCCGGCCCGCGCCGCCCGCCGCGTCCCGGCGCCCCCTGGCGGCGGGAGGGCGCGGCGTGGATGGGGATAGTGGGAATAGGATCACGGGAATTGGGATCACGGGGATGGGGTCACGGGAATGGGGTCACGGGGATGGGGTCACAAGGGATGGGGTCACGGGAATGGGGTCACAGGAATTGGGATCACGGGGATGGGATCACAGGAATTGGGGTCACAGGAATGGGGATCACGGGAATGGGGGTCATGGGGATGGGGGTCATGGGGATGGGGATCCTGGGGATGGAATCACGGGAATGGGGTAACGGGAATTGGGATCCTGGGAATGGGGGTCACAGGGGATGGGATCCCGGGAGTGGGGTCACAGGAATGGGGGTCACGGGGATGTGGGTCATGGGGAATGGGAGTCCTGGAAATGGGGATCCTGGGTCATGTGGGTCCCACGGTGTGGAAGAGGTTTTACAGCGATTTCTGTGAGCCACTGAGAAGTTTGATGAGAGGATCCGTGTTAACTCCTGAAAGAATTCTCTACCAAGGCCGTTGACATAGAAACCAAGAAAGCAGGATAAATGAGAGAAACATGCAACTGTCTATTCCAATAAGCACTTGGTTTGTCTTTCCTGACCAATAAGTGTAACTTAGGAGTTCTGTAAGAATGTATAAAAAGCATGCATGCCATAATAAAACCAGGTTGGAAGCCTTCTGAAAATGGAGTGTTGCTTTGTGTTGTGACCATCCCAGCTACGACACTGTGGAATGAGCATTCCAGGAATAGGGATCCAAGAGAATGGATGTCCCAAAATGGGCATCCTGGGCATTCTCACAGGGAGGAATGACAGCACTGGAGTGTACAATGTTTTTTTGGTTCTTATGCAGCAGTGAAAACAGCAACAGGGCTAACACCTTAAAAATCAAAATTAACACAAGTCCTCCAAGGAGTAAATCTTGCAAAAAACAAAGAGTTCCTTTTGTATTCAAAGGCTTGGAATATTTAGCTTTGGAAAAACAATTCATTTACAAATGTAACTGCAGGAGAGAGCCACCATTCTTATAATTACCAGTATAACCTTTAGTGGGGTTCCATACTTGTGATGCACATTTCAGTCTCATTTCGTAAGAAAACAGGCATTGTTGAGGGGCTTTGGTGAAAAACATCTTAAATGTGCTCAGAATAGAATTAGAATCCAAAGGAGCAAGTTTTTCAGGAAAATCTGAGATATTGCCTGTGATGAGATCCCTTCTAAAGGGTTCACTTGAGGGACTCAGCGCTCTATCCAAATACTGGCAGATGAGTCAGAGGAGAAAAACAATCTTTTTTAATGGTCCTTTGGGAAGACAGTGCTTGCAGAGAATTTGGTACTTTCTGGTCTATTGCTTACATTCCAAGAAAGACTATTAAACACTGAAACGACCTATGGAAGGTGAAGTGGTTGTAAATGGGAAAGTCCAGTGCATGGCAGTCTCAGAAAGGAGCCCATCAAAGCTCTCACACACAAGTTGTGAGCTGGCAGTGTATGCCAGCTTTTACCAGACCACAGCAAACTGCAGATCACAAAAAATGGCCATTAGGTCAGATACAGAATGAAGCAACATGCATCAGCATCAACACTGGTAAGTGGTATAACAAATGACAATATTCTTACTGATATTATCAGAAATTTTCAATGAGTCTATAAAAATTACAAACTAGGCAAAAAAAAAAAGGGGGGGGGAACTGATGACTACTGTGGCATAATGTTTCCTAATGGGGATTTTCAAAATGTAAAGATTGTATCATCCTTTAATCTGAAGGAAGGTATTAAAATGACAATACAGAAGTGGCATCAAATGCTAGAAAATTTAGGCAGGATTCTTAGAAATGCCACAGATACCCCGAGGAAATGGTTACACTGCAATGCAGCACTGTACTGCAGCAGGTGCTGGTGGCTCCCCAGTCAGGCAGGGAGGGTTCTGTGACCCTTCTGAGGATGGGGATCGCTGCCCATACTGCTACCCAGAGCAGGTCATGGCCAGAAGTGGCAGAGAAGAGCCAGAGGGAGGGTGCTGGGGAGCCCACCTGCAGGGAGACCATTCCCAGCAGCACCGGGGTGCAGTGGGCTGGTCTGGCCCAAAAGTACCATTATTGAGGAAAGGGCACTGAAACCAGCCCTGGGGAACACCATGGAGCTTTATTCATGATGCCAGCCCGCTGCTGGGAGCAGGAACCCTTTGGTCCTTCCAGCACCCCCAAGCCAGGCCTGGCCTGGTGGGGCAGGCCCGTGCCGGGGCAGCGTGGAGGCAGCAGGCAGCCCCTCGGTGTGACAGCCAGCAGCAGCTCCGTCCTCAGCAGCCCCACCACTGCAGGGCCCATGGCCAGGGCAGGCCCCAGCGCCCACAGTCCGGAGGGGATGGTGGGGTCAGGGCATCTGGGGCCCAGCGTGGGCGAGTTGGTGCCATCAGGGTGGCAAAGCCTTCCTTGTCCGCCCGTCTCCTGGGGGAGATGTCTTCCTCTTGAGGGGCTACATTCTGGTGCTGTGCTCCACCTGAGGGGGCAGATTGGGAGGGGTTGGTGTGGCTGCCCTCTCCATCACCATGCTGGGGACAGCAAGGCCGGGTGCTCAGCAAGAAGGGAGCTCAGAAAGGATGGGTGCTCAGCAAGGCCGGGTGCTCAGCAAGAAGGGGGCTCAGAAAGGATGGGTGCTCAGCCAGGCCAGGTGCTCAACAAGAAGACAGCTCAGGAAGGATGGGCGCTCAGCAAGGCTGGGTGCTCAGCAAGGCTGCGTGCTCAGCAAGAAGGGGACTCAGAAAAGATGGGTGCTCAGGAAGGATGGGCGCTCAGCAAGGCCGGGTGCTCAGCAAAAGTGGGCTCAGGAAGGATGGGTGCTCAGCAAGAAGGGGACTCAGAAAGGATGGGTGCTCAGGAAGGATGGGCGCTCAGCAAGGCCGCGTGCTCAGCAAGAAGGGTGCTCAGCAAGGCCGGGTGCTCAGCAAAAGGGGGCTCAGGAAGGATGGGCGCTCAGGAAGGATGGGCGCTCAGCAAGAAGGGGACTCAGAAATGAAGGGTGCTCAGGAAGGATGGGCGCTCAGCAAGGCCGGGTGCTCACCGGGGCCTGGTGCCGCTCCCTGCTGATGTGCAGCACGGCATCGTGCACCGAGGGGAAGAAGGAGTGCTTGGTGATGGTTGAACTGAAGAAGTTGCCTCGCTCCAGCTGGGCCAGGACAGATACTGTGTGGAGGGATAAGTATCTAAAGTGATGGCACCTAGCTGAGCCCCCGCCACCCGCCCGGAGCAGCCTCCTCCCGCCTCCTGTGTTGTGGGGGACACCAGGGTCACCACCAGGGACCCAGCTTCGAGGCTCAGACTGGATCCATGGGACAACCTGCAGCACCTGTCCCCTGGGGAAACCCTGGGGGTGGGAGCACATGGGGGGACCCCCAGGCTATCAGCTGGGTGCCAAAGGGTTGGCCATGCCTGGCCAGGGCTCATGACTCTGCAGATCCCCCTCACCCGGGCAGCAGGCAATGAAGACATCCACTTCTATCTCACGGAAATCCCTGAAGATCTGCAAATGGGAAATAACATTTTACCCAGGAAGAGGAATGGGCAGCAGCCATCAGGACACCCCAGAGGGCCCCAGAGACACCATCAGCGAGGCTGCTGTCCTGCCTGCTCCTCAGCCCCTTACATTCTTCAGGATCTTGATGGAGACGGTGTCCACGAAGCTGACGGGGCTGAAGTCCAAGATGACAGCGTAGAAGCTGGGCTGGGGCAGCCCCAGGCTGCGCAGGGTGGGCTCTGAGGGTTCACTGCTCTGTCCCGCGTTCAACTCAATCACTGCCAGGCCTGGACCGTCCTCTGCATTCTGGGGAAGGGAAGGAGACCCGGTGTCACTGCTCCAGGCATGGCAGCACCCTGGCCGTGGCAGTGCTCCCCAGGGCTCACCTTGAGGCTCTTTGGCTGTATGAGGGCACAGGCAGTGGGTGGCCTCAGGAGTGGGTGCCCCTCTCACATCTTCACCAACTTTTGGGCTCTTTTCAGATGTGTCTAAACCTACCCCTCTCCCCAGCACTGCTCTGCAGAGCCAGACTCATTAGCTGGCGCCATGCCAGACTTTGCCCTTGCTCTTAATTCTGATTAACTTGCAAAAGGTTAATGACTTGGCAGCTCCAACGCATAATCATTAACAGCCCAGCTTTCCTACCAGCCTTGGGTGGTGTGACCCAGCTCAGTCCCAGTGTCCTCCTCACCCATTCCCTAAACTGAACTGGGAACCGTGTGGGCCACCAAGCCCCACCAGTGCACTGACAGAAGCATCAGGGAGGGAAGAGGTGCAGGATGTCACTGGAGGGGTGGTCCCCAGAATCAAGGACACACACACCTTTTTCCTCTTTGCCTTTTCCTTCTCCAGTTTCTTCTGCTGTTTCTTCAGCTTCTTGAGGGCCTTCTTCTTCTTCTCAATCAGGCGGTCCACATCAATGCCGCTCTGCAAAGCAGCGTGGCCCTGTGTCCCCAGCTGCCCCAACACCACCCTGCTGCTGGCAGGCAGCAGACATGGGAAGCACCCTGAGGCTGGTGGCTCTCCTACCTTTTTCTTCAGGGCCTCGGCATACAGCTCCACGTTGGCAAAATAGATGGTGGAGGAAGAGCGGAATATCTTCACACCAGGGACCTCCTGTGCCTGGGGGCAGATGTGGAGGGTGCTACCCCAGGGGCCAGCTGTTCCCCTCCCCTTCCCCCCACCAAAAAGCCCCCAGCCCCTTTTCCCAGTGAGCACTGGAGATGCTTTGAACTGCCCCCCACTGCAGGCAGCTCTTCTCCCATCTCTGGTGCTGTTACCATCTCGTATTCCACCACATCCCTGTAGACGTCGGTGTCGGAGATGCGCCCCAGGATGGAGTAGTGGGGGCTGCAGGGAGCAGAGCAAGGGGCTGAGGTCACCACAGGCTCCTCCTGCCCTTGGGATGTGGCACCAAGGCAGCCCTGGGGTACTCACAGCTGGGTACGGAAGATGACCGTGAGCAGCCCAAATGCCACCGAGGCCGCCAGGCCGATGTCCAAGTTCAGCAGGAGGGTGGCTATGAATGTCACAACCCAGACCAGCTGGAGAGGGGACACATTCAGCTGCAGTACAGCCTCTCCACTGGCACCTACAAGCCTTGGGGAGGGTGGAGAAATCCTCCCCAGAAACAAGAGCACAGCCCCAGGGCTGGCCAGCACCTTACCAGGTCCACCTTGTTGGACTTCCAGAGAGTGCAGAGGTCCTTGAACTGCTTGAACATCCCCTTGAGGTTGGCAATGATGATGGCAGATAAGATGGCCTAGGAGAGAAATCTCTGCAGTTATGAGGAAGCTGAGGGCAAATCTCGTTGCTGTTCCCCTCCATATCACCATGCCATGGGACAGGCACAGGTGAGGGATGTGACACTGAGGCTGTGGGACTGGATGTACCTTGGGCAGGTCCCGGAAGAGCTCTCCAATCTTCAGGATGGTCACCAGGATGACCAGGGATGCAATGACACCAGCTACCTGTGCAGAGGGCGAGCAGGAGGTGAGGTGTGAGCCCCCACTGCTGGCTCTGCTTCCTGCCCCTGCTTCAGGCCCGAGAGGGAGGCAGCACTGCCCAGACCCACCTGGCTGTTGCCCCCTGTGCTCTCCTGTACCAGGCTCCTCGACATGGAGCAGCTGATGGCAAAACACTGGAAGAAGCCTCCTAGGAAGTTGCAGAGCCCCAGTGCAATCAGCTCCTGCAGGGACAGAGCAGTGGCAGGGGAGCACCATGCTTTCATCTGGCTGCAAGAAGGGCAAGATTATTTTTCACCCAGGGTGGGGGCCCTGTGCCTCAGAGCATCACCTGGTTGCTGTCCACTTTGTAGCCATGTTTCAGGGCAAAGATTTTGCCCAGGGAGATGCAGATGGCATAGCCTACCACAGCAATGGCAAAGGCATTGCCTGCCACCTGCCCAAAGTAGCTCATGTTAGGGGCCACAGGTGGCTTCAACCTACATTCAAGAGAGAGATGGGGCTCAAACAGGGGTGCTGTGGGCAGCAGGATGCCCTGGCACAGCCCCCTGCACCCTCAGGCCCTGCTCACCCGCTGGGGATGTTGCCCACCACAGAGATGCCAAACTTGTCTTTCAGGTTGACCCCATAGGAGATGCCAGTGGAAACGATGATCTGGGGGAGAATGACTGCAGTGAGGCAGGGTCCTCCTGCACAGGGACTGTGGTGGAGGAAGAGGAGGAGGGCACAACACATGCCCTGGAGCTGCACTTGGCAAGGAGCCCAATCCCACTGCTCCCCACCCTGAAGGGGACAGGGATACACCAGGGATTCCTGGCTGTATCCCCACAGGAGGCTGGGGCAGCTCTGGGTACCGTGATAAGCTCGATGGGGATGGGCATGGGCAATTTGGCAGCAAACTTGTGGTTGAGCTCCTTCACAATCAAGATGGCCACCATGGCAATGATGGCAGTCACCAGGGTGCCCACATTGGTGTCTGGCAGCTTCTTGCAGAGATCGATGATGGTCTAGAGAACACAGGAGGAGGGAATGTGCTCAGGAAAGCAGATGCCCCCCCAGCAGGTTTTTGGAGGCCTCTATGTGCCCCACAGGTGAGCACCAGGGCTCCTTGGGTGCCAGCAAGCCCCCACTCACCACAAACAGTGAGAGTGGCCCTGAGCTCTCGCCTTGGGAGACTCCAAAAACATTTTTAAGCTGGGAGACGAGGACATGCACAGAGGCAGCAGTGGTGTAGCCACGCACCAGCGGGTCTGAGAGGTAGGTGACCACAAATCCAAACTGCAGGAGGCCCAGGGCCACCTGGAAGAAGAGATGGCAGAAATTACCCCAGGTTACGGTCTCCTGTTCTCTGCTAGACCAGGCTGGGGCCACCTTACCTGGAAGATACCTGTCAGGACAGTGATGGTGGCCACCAGCTCCACCCTGGCAGCGTCGCGCCGCTCCTCGTTGACCGTTGCATTGCTGCCATTGACCGACTCCAGGAAGTGCTCGCTGGGCAGCAGGGACTCTGTCAAGCTCCCAATCATGACAGAGATGACAGCAAAAGGACCTGAGAACAGGTACAGTGTGGGCAGGGAGCCCAGTGCGGGCACCAGGACCTCTCTGAGAGGACCGCTTAAGGGGTCAGCTCCTCTCTCCTTAGGCCAGGCTCAAAGCACACACACTGTACTTTGGCTCTGGCTTGGCCAACCCCCTTCTTGGTGCAGCAAGGTAAAGGCAAGCAAGGTTCCCCCAGATGCTGATGTGGCAATGCAGTGCCATGGACATCCTTGCTCCCTCCCCACCATTGCTGTGCAAGCACATGGTCCCTCAGCTCACCCACGGAGTTGTGCCTTGATGTTCCAAAGAAGAAGTAGAGGAAGACGGGGTAAAAGGAGGAGTAGAGACCCGTGACTGGTGGCAGCCCAGCCAGCAGCGCGTAGGCAAGCCCTGGAAGGTGGAGAAGGGAGACATGTCACCAATGGCCAACCCATCACCACCCCACCTGTGGGGGGCCCCTGGCAGCCTGGGCATGGCATCACTCACCCTGGGGCAGGTGCATGATGCCCACACTGAAGCCCGAAACGATGTCCCCCACGAGCCAGTCCTTGACGGGGTAGCGGGGCAGCCAGCGCAGGAAGGGCAGGAAGCGGAACAGCAGGGCCTTGGCAGCAGAGCCCGAGCATCTGGCGGGGACAGAGCAGGAGCTGAACTTGAGCACAAGTGCAGGGGGCTTGGGGACATCAGTGAGGGTGGATGAGACCCCATGGGAAGCAATGGGATCTGTGGGACCATCAGCTCCATCCACTAGAGTCTGGTGTCCCTCCAGGCAGGAGGACAGATGGGGACATGGATGTCTGGGTGTAGGGAAATGAACCCCCAGGTCTGCAGGTCCCGGTGGTGGTGGGGCTGGGGTGCAGAATGCAGCAAGGTGGGGCCCACTTTGTGTGGGGCAAGGTGCAGGCACGTCCCACTGGCCACATGGTCTTACCTGGTCTTGCGGAGACAGCCGCGCAGAGAGGGCTTGGTGGGAGGTTTCCTCTGCGCCACCTCCTCCAGCTCAGCCTCACTCAGCACCTCGCGGGGCCCTCGGTGGCTCAGGGCCATCTCTGCTGCCATGCCCACCTGGCTCTCCGGAATGCCAGTCCACTGCAAGGACACAGGGACAGCTCAGCTGCATTCCCACGGCCAGGGGCAGCCAGCAGCCCACCTACCCTGCAGCCCCTCCTCCAGCTCCCCTTGCCCACGGAGCCATCCTGGCCAGGTGGGCAGGAATGGCCCTGAGGATAGGCACCAGCCGAGTTTTGGGAGTCCTGCAGCAGCAGCACTGTCTCAAAATGGAGAGCAGTAGGCAGTCAGGAGGCGGGCAGGAAGGCTTTGGCAGTCAGTGCTGGCCCTCCTGCCCCAGAGCAGCCCCATCCACCCCACTGAAGTGCACGGGTGGGGTCTGCCAGCAGAGCTGCCTCGGGGGCTCCCTCTCCACCTGCCCACGCAGGACCCACCTCGGTGCCAACCACCTTCCCCTCCGTGCACTGCAGCAAGGCAGGGCAGTGGGCCAGCACAGCTGCTGAGCAGAGCCCCATCCATCCCACAGCCCCATCTGCAGACTTTGTGCTTTACACATGAGGGAAGCAGGAATGTGAAACCCCGGCAATTGTCACGGCTCACCATCCCTCCAGCAGTGCCCTCCCTTGACCCCTGCAGCGCAGAGCGGGATGAGCCTGTGAGCAGAGGAGCCAGGCTGGGCTGAGGTCTCACCCTTCACAGGGCTGGCATGGTGGGTCTGAGGAATCCCTGCACAAATCTACAGCTTGTCCCTGCTCAGAGATCACTCTGAGAGCTGCACCATCAGGCCAGGCCCATCCAGCTGGTGCCCTGCTCAGTCTTAAGGTGCTCATCCACTTGCAGCTGGACCCACAATCCCGTCCCTGAGTGCCTGGGGCTGTGCCAGACTGAGTCCCTGTGTTACCCCCATCCTACCCTCCTACCTGCTGTGCTCAACTTGGTCAGGAGCCACCAGTCAGGTGCGTGCTCAGCTTCCTCCTATTTATTAAAACCAGCCAGTGATCTTTGAGACATTGTTCCCTGCCTCCTGCCCTTCCTCCTGCCCTGCCGAGAAGCTGCCCCTCTTCCCAGCCCCATGGATGCACAGCACCCACGGTGCCACCTTGGTGCCCTGGTGTGCTGGGTTCCCCAGCTGTGGCAGCGCTGTTACCACTGTCCCCAGAGCCATCCCATTCTGGGGACTGTCTACTTCAGTCCCAGCTCCTGGTCTCCAGCTACATCCAGGATGCTGCCATGCCTGACCACCCATGTCACGTGCAAGGCAGGGGGCTTCTTGCCACTGGGCTCAACCAGGTGCCAACCTCCTGCCAAGAGCTGCCTCCCCAGAGCACTGCTGTGCCCCATGACTCCCATGGATGTCCGCTCCCCAACCCATGTCCTGGAGCAGTTGTGACCAGGACAAGAAGGGTTACCCACAGCCTCTGGTCATGGCACCCCGGTATTTCCCCCAGACCCTTGCTTACCTGCTGGAAACAGGTGTGCTATGCTCTGTGGACTCCCCTGGTCTCACACAATTCGAACAGACCCAGCTGTTATCTTGTTCCAAAGGTCCCCCGCGGGCGCTATAGTCCCACTGAACCATCACACCTCCCTGGGCTCTATCACAACCCAGAGTTGGTTGCAGGGAATTTCTGAGTCACGTTTGGCCCAGGCCCCATGGGACACGGCAGCGGAAATCCAGGCTCAGATTTCTGCCTGGTAGCAAGGTGTGGTGCGAAGGCAGTGGGCAGGGTCAGGCATCAGAGAATCCTGGGTCCCCTGGATGGTGGGATGGGGCTGAGAGGCAGCAGGAGCAGTGACATCCAGGACCACAATCTCCAGAGTTGGAGCAACTTGTCTCCATCCCTGGTGTCTTGTGGGGCCAGCCTGTGCCACCTTAGTTCTCTCTGTGGTGAGCCATGTCCTACAGCTTTCAGTGAAACTGAGCCTCTTCCCTCAACCCATCCCTGGCCCTCCCTGTCCACCCTCATGCCCATCAGTTGTCAGGTAAAGGCATGGTCAACACAGGCACCCACACATGACTGCTGCCTCCTGTTTATCCACTCCCCATCATTTATTCACCCCCCCAGCACGGAATGAGAGGCCATCACAGGGCTCCTGCTCTGAAGCAGATAACACCCCATGTCATTTATTGCCTCTTTATCACTGCTCCCTGTCCCCGCCCATGCCATTCCTTCCCTCACTGCAGCCTCCAGTCCCCCACGTGCACCCCAGGCTGGTCACCCTGCCTGTGTCCCCTCCACTCCAGTCCCCCCAACAGCTCTCCCTGGCCCTCACCCCCCAGCCAGCCTCTGGAGGGGCTGCAGGACAGCAGCACAGCTCCTGGCACTGCCAGCACAACTCCTCAAGGCTGCCCTGAACTCACTCCCAGCAGCTCAGGTGACAGCCCGTAAGGGACAAAGGGATGACAATTGATGGTGACCCTTGCTCAGGGCGCTGTGGATCAATGCTGCCCTTTGCTCACCTGCTATTTCCTCTTCGACAAGGGGAGGACACAGGGCAGCAGGATCACGCTCAGCCTTCTCTCCCCACCCTTCCTTCTCCTTGCTGGCAGCCAGCTTGACCCTGCTGAGGTCACGCAGCCTTTGGAAAATGATCTTCTTCCCTTAGCCTGGTCAGGCTGGGGGTGCTGGCAGCTGCCAGGCACGAGCTGAGCCAGGCACAGCTCACCACAGCCACTGACTGTGGCATGGCAGCTCTGCCAGGCAGGCCTGGAGCCACTGCACAGCACCTCAGGCAATGCCACCTCTGGGGGACAGCCTGGACACAGCCCAGTTCAGTCACCTCACCTGAAGTGCCCATCCCCATGTCACCTTGCCTCAGGCCACAGTGACTCCCAGGAAGCCTGGAACTGGCTGTGAGTTCCTGCCCAAGCCCCTTCCCAACACCACCTTGAGCCCAGGTGCTGCATCCAGAGCCCCAGCCACGAATCCCCAGCAGAGGGAGAGACAGCACAGAGCCCAGCACCATTTTATAGACTTTTATTTCCAAATCTGGCGCTTCCATTGTACACTTTTACACAGCCAAAAGGGGAGTGTGGGCATCTCCCCACTCCCTGCCAACAGAGTCAGGAGACAGAGAGAGGAAAAAAAACCCAACCAAATCCCCCAAAGGAAAAAATCCAAACTCAAGGAGGATGCTCCCCAGAGCCCAGGTCACAGCACTACAATCAGGGACCAAGCTGCAGACTGGTCTGCAAGAAGCAGATTTCTGCTTCTTGACTGGCCCAGCTCCACAGGGATGGCCACCAGCTCTGTAGGAATGGCCACCATCTCTGCTGCTCTCTTCTTTTTGGCACTTGACACTTGCTCTCCATTTGGCAGCAGCATAAAGAGCCCTGTGCCCAACTTGGCAGGAACGTGGGCCCTACAGTGCAGCAGGGACAGGATCCCAGGACTCTGGTGCTGGCACTGCACAGCCGGAGAGAAACTTGTAAACGAGCTTGTTTCCAAAGGCAAAGATGGGCAGCATGGAGGAGCCTGGCTGTCCCAGCACGTGGGGCCAGCAGGCTTTCCCTCTTCACACTGGTCCCAAATGGCATGTAAACATGTCAGCAGGCCTCTCTCCCCTCATCCCTGGGAAAAGGATGACAGTGAGCCTGCCTCATCAGGGCTGTGCTGGGGACCCAGGGCACCCCCAGTCACCAGCCCTTCTGTTCCCTCCATACTCTCCCCACTGACTCGGGGAGGCAGCCAAGAGGCCCTGGCCTCCCTAGAGGCATGAGGACGGCAGCACGAGTCCTCTCCTGTAAACATGTCAGGCTGGGCTACAGTAAGATGCCATGGCAGTGTGGTAGTAAGGCAGTAAAGAGCACATGGCCATGCAGCCCCAAGAGCACCTGGGGGGTGATAAAGGGAATATGTTGGCCCTGCTGAGCCTAATGCCCTGGCCTGAGGCTGAGGTAGGCACAGAGGAGTGCCATCTCACAGCACAGCCAGGGGTCAGGCCCCAGGCTGAGCAGACACCATCTGGGTAGCCTGAATTTCCAGAGAGGGCAAAGTGCTGTTTATCTCCATCTCCCAAAATTCAGGCCACTGAGCTAGAGTCCTTTGCTACTCAGGGGAGAGCAGGTGTACACAGAGCCCCCGGGGAACCAGCTAGATACAACTTTTATGGGCAATGCTGGACCCTAAAACTGGAGCCACATCATGCTCCTGTGGATGTTAGTCCTCTGCAGAGTCAGGACTGGCTCTGGGAAAAGCCAAGCCTGCTGCTAAGCAGGGCAAGGGTCATCCAGCTCCTTTACCAGACCCACAAACCAACAGAAGTTTGTCCTCTAACATGCAGGTTAAAGAGCACAACACCCAGTGGGTAAAAACACAGTGCTCACTTGCTGAGCGGAGGAAAGCAGCATGATGAGAGTGGGACCATGCTGGTACAGGACAGGACTGCAGAGCAGGGCTTGTCTCCTTCCCAGCAGGTTCTAGTGCTGAGTTTGCTGCCCCATTCACAGGTGCTCTCGCTGGCACACAGCCCCAGCTCACACACAGCCCCAAGGAGTGGTCCCACGACAGGACAGAGGGAGGCCTGGCTGCAGGGGCTGAGGGACACCAGGCAGGAGGAGACAGAGTCTGGAGCTGCACAGTGGGAGGGCAGGGGGGGCAACAGGGCCAGCTGCCCTGCAGGGGGAATGGGACAAAGAAGTGCCAGCAAAGCCTTAAGGACTGCTTGGCACTGTTCCTCCAGTCCACTGGGATTGTGGTTCTAGTAGCCCCAGGGAAACTGGCAAGGGGCTGTTGGTGAAACAAATGCTCCAGGTCCTGGGAACAGACCATCCGTAAAAATAACCATAAAATTTCTCTTCTCTCTGATTACAAAGATACAAAAGGATAGAAAACCCTCCCTGCCCCCATGTCCTAGGCTCCATTTTTGTCCCCCTGCCACTGCCCACCCTTCACACACACACAGGCACACCCCACACACAAACAGCTCGCAGAGAAAGAGCCTGGGCCCAGGGCATTGGAGATGCCACCCTCGCCCAGTACTACCTGTCACACCGGGCAGGTGACAGAGAGCATGGTGGCAGCTGAGAGCCTGGAGGCTCCTGGCAGTGGGTGGTGTGGGCTGCTGGCCCCTGAGCCCACAGGGCAGTGGAAAGCAGGGTTGGTTTTGGGCCTCTGACAGCCATCAGTTCTGGCCCCTGCTCCATGGGGATACCAAACCTCAGCTGGCAGTGCCTGGTGAAGAGCTCTGCTTCTTCCATCTCTCTCGTGATCAGCTTCTGCTCCTCAGGAATGCCCATCATTTCTCATTATTCTTCTCAGAGGAAAGAAAAACAGTGTTAAGCCATGGCATCTCTCCTGGGCT